TCCTTTGTTTCAGCGAGGAAGGCACTTGTCTCAGCTGAAAAAGCACAGCTATCATCTCTGGCTGAAGAACTTGGCTGTTGTCCTTTTTGTTCTTCCTTTCTTTTATAGCATTCTTTCCACCAATGTCCTTTCTTCTTGCAATATCCACAGTGTGTGTTCTTCTTTTTATCTTTAATGGATTGTTGATGCTGCTGTTGTTTGTTGGAAGCTGTTGAATTTCTGTTGAACTTTGAAAAAGTCTTCAAGGCATTATCTGGTTTAAAATTTCCTGAAGAATCCCAATGATCCTATAATCTTTCTTCTTTCAGTAATCTTGCCGTCAAGTTTTCTAGAGTCTTTTCTTCTGATGAAACTGAATCCCACGCTGTTATGAAATTCTTGTATTTATCAGGCAAGCTGCAAATTATCTTTGTAATTAGAGAAACATCAGAGATTGGCTCACCTAAATCTTTCATTTGTTGTGCCTGAGTTTCAACTTTGGAAATGTGAGAAGCAATGTTATCATTTGGATTCATTTTATATTCGAAAAATCTTTGTTGCAGCAAATATTTGTTTGTTTCAGATTTCAGTTCATATATTGTTGATAATTTCTTCCACATTTCTGCTGAAGTCTGGCAATTAACAATCCTCTATTTCAGGTTTTACTTCAGAGCCATCAGTTATACTGAGAATATATTTTGCTTCTAGAATGATCTTCATTTGAAATTTCCATAGATGAAAATTATCGCCGTTGAATTTTTGAATTTGTGGAAGTTCAGTTGTCATCTTGAGTAAGCAAACGAATTTCAACTTAGATAAACAAAAATATTTGATACCAACCACGCTCTGCTACCATGTAAGAGAATCAGAGGCTGGATCTCAAAAGTATTGTTTAATTAACAATAATATTATATTAAGATGACAAGGAACAAAAAAGAGTCACAAAAGGCAAACGCAGTAGCAGGAAGAAAACCAAAACTTAAACTACAGGTATAGACAGTGTGGCGCCAGGTCACGTGATGTCTGGTAGGAAAGGTGTCGTTGCTAGGCAACAGCTGATGTGCGAAGTTACTCTCCAACAAGATGTGTCGTCTAGTAAATAATGTCACTTTAGATTTCTACATTTGTAGTACTAGGCCATGGAGGGTTTTGACTGATTTCACTGTAAGTACCCCACATTTCTATATATGATGTACCAGGCCAATGTTACAGGTACATTTTGTACTATAAATACATCACATATATGTCATATAGTAAAAATATCACTTTAGATGTGTCTACATTTGTAGACCAGGCCATGGAGAGTTGTGTCTGCTTTCATTGTAAATACACCTCATTTCTACACATAAAGATTGAGGGTTATGACAATTTGTACTGTAAATACAACGATGTTCATACATGGACTATCAGACCATATTGGATGCCATTAGCAACGATTTAGAACTACTGACCTATCTCGAAGGTAGAAGAGATTTGATCGAAGCTGATTTGGTCTAAATGGCCTGACCTAGATCATTCTTGTAGAAAGCTGCGAGTGTGACCTCTCGCCTCAGGTGAAGATGGCAGGTGTCACTTGAGACCTGGCCTTCATTCTGACCCACCGGGAAAATAGGATGTCCCAACGTGTCACTTACCTAGCTAGCAACCATTCTAATTTTTGTGATAAATGCCTTTTCTTGGATTCCTTATTTACGAATATGGTCGAAATGTTCTAGGTCTTGTGCTCTTTTTCCTTAATCTGACTCTTTGGATTTGTGGAATTCTCTTGTTGACTTTTGTTATTCATCTTTTTCAGTCTACTGCTCATTTTAGAAATTTACTTCACGGCTTCTCACCCACGTTGTTGACCTGTACGGTCGTCTTTGTTGCCTTTGTTCTTATCATGGCTCATGTCTTCGGGGCCAAGATCTGCTACCATTCAGGATTCTTTCGAACCCGAACCTTTATACATGGCCATCTATTGGGGCTTGCTATTTTCTGTCTTGGAATTTCTATAGTAATGATTGTAATCCAAGTCTGGTGTAGTATTTCTTCTTCTCTTCTGGAAGTTGCCATCGATCGCGGTTTCTCTCGTGCTATGTCGCAATATAGCCGCGATCCAAGAGTCAAACGTGAGGTCGATACCGTACAAATCTCTTGGAATTGTTGCGGATTGAAGTCCTATGAAGATTGGCTGATGGTAACCTGGCAACCACTAGGACATCTCCCACCTAAAATGGTCGAACAGGCTGTGAAACTGCAGAAAGAAATTGAAGAGGGGCTGGTTACAAGTCCATACTCAGATCCCCGATTTAGAGATAGAGGCGTTCCTTTTAGCTGCTGCGATCGACATGTTCTAGGTCCATGCACCAAACAATCAGTCGTTCTTCCACAACCTGGAAGAACTAAAGAGAAACTGACTCTCTACAAACAATCATGCGTTCGTGCATTACGTCGAGCATTCCAGCATCTCTACAACAGACTTGCAGCCATGTGTTATATCATCATGCTCCTGGAGTGGGCAGAAGTGGTTCTCATCCGCTATCTACAGACCTCGGTGGAAAATGACATCGCTAACAGGCAGCCGTTCGGTCTGGTCAGTGCTGGTTGGATATCAGAGCGGTTGCCACATTCTTCGATGGCCTTTGGACGTACACCATTGAAGTCTAGGCTAGCAAGAGCTCTGGAGCGTGACATTGTTCGACAGAAAGAACTACTTATGATAAAAGATAATGAAGAAGAGGAATCTACAAGTACAGAATCAGAATAAACATCCTCTCTTAACCTTTCCTGTGAACGATAGCCAAAGATTTCTTAGGAAATGATCCAAAATAGAGGATATAGTAGAATACATTTCTCATAAGAAACCGACCAAACAAAACTGGATAACACTGGTGTCTCTTGGAAGATTGAGTTATGCTATATCGAGATATTTTACAAAGATGATTGCTTATCAGTATTATTTTGAATTTAAGAAGTTCCTAAATAGAATACTCATAATGGAAATTGTACGCAGCTTTCTTCACAATTTCAACCATAACGGCAATAATCCAGGTATTACTAAAAAAACGTATTAACTAAATGAAAAATTAGTACAAATATAATATTGTACTGGGATAAGGTTCATAAATTAAGAAAATAAAAAAGGCATCTACTTATCTGGGCAAGCCATCAGCAACTTTCAGTTTCCCGATAAGGAGATGTCTTTTTTCTTTTCTTAATTTTTAACTATGAACTATCTGACGACCTCCCCTGAAGGACCATCTTATAAAATCGAAAGTAATTCAACTTGAAAATCTCTAATTTCCAATAAAAGACTAAAAGTAGCTATAAATTTCGCTGGATACCATGGAATGTTGGTTCAGCTGTATTAATTGAAACAGCTGTAGGTAACTGGGCACTATGACTATGGTCAATGTCAGCTGTTATTTTAAAAAGATGCTTGCTAGGATATCCCGTGACATGTTTAATTGCATAAACATCGCATATGTGCGTAAATTTCCGGAAATTCACAAATAACTTCCTTAAATCCCGATCACCAATTTAATTGTGAACTGCATCATACCCTATTTACAACGGTTATACAAATATACAAAGTTCGGTCAATAAATAACGCACAATCGGTAATAACTTTTCAATGAACAAACTACAAAACTGAAACCATGTATATAAGAACTCCAAACAACAGTCCTCTATATATTAGAATCATCAATATATCCACCTTCCTTCTGTATCCAATGTTGTTGTCAACTTGTAAAAGTACTGGAAAAAATCTTATCCAACTCTCTGAACCACCTTCTAACAGCTTGAAATAAAATTGCGTCACTTTCAAACGTTTTACCATGTAATAACGCTTTTCTCTTCCAAACAAGTAGAAGTATGAGGGTGCCAGGTTAGGGCTGTATGCAGGATGAGACATCAAAGTCCACCTATACCCTACAATCTTTGCCAAAATTAGGAGTGCCATGTGAGGTCTTGCATTATCTTGATGAAATTTGATTGGTGTGTTTTTTAAATTGGATCTTTTTGTTTCACTCGTTTTTTTTTTTAGCTTTTCTAATTATTTAAAATACCCTGCCTTATTGATGGGATAATTTATTTCAAGAGTGCCTATGAATATCATCCCTTTTTTTTTTTTTTGGTCCCAAAAGATAGAGATCATGAATTGTTCTTGGAAAAGAAAAGCCTTGATTTTTTTTCTTTCCTTGGCGATATTTTATGGATCCATTGCATTGTTTGGCGCTTTGAAGAATGATTATGCTTTTGAAGAAGGATTATCAAATGTTATCACACCTTCAAACACATGGTTCCTTGAGAACCAAGGTCCCCCAGAAAAATTATCCATGAAATCCAAACAAATCTTTTTCTGAATTGACATAATGTCTGTGTTACAAGTTTTGACACTCATTTTGAGCATAATTTTCGATATCCAAGTTCATTGATAAGTTTAATAGCATTTCCTTTAGACTGGTAGCAATCCATTATTTGATAAGTCGTCATTGTCCAGTTATTCTTGATCAATTCCTTCATTGGAGACCAAATTTAGGTCCATCACTACAGAGGTTGGTCTACCTGACCTTTCTTTATTACTGATATTGAAATCCTCATTCTCTAATATCTGAATCCATCTTTGTATTGTACTTCTATCCATGGCTTCGTTTCCATACACAGACTTTAGCTTCGAGTAAATTACAGTGGCTGAAATATCTCCGGAATTAAACAGTAATTCCATCACTGATCCATTGTCAGATGCTTATGTTTTACCTCAGGCTGCATATCTGTAAAAAATACTAAATATATTTTAATTCTGTTTGAATATATAAAAATAAGAATGTTTATTTATTTATATAACCGTATCTTCATGATGATAAATGATTTTTTTAATTTTCTATAGGTCATTGTGCATTGCTTATTGACCGTCGGGTAAGTTGGCGTTCTGTGCTTCAGCAACCTGGGTTTATCTACATGGTCTAGTGGCTAATATACCTGGCTCTCACTCAGGAGGCCCGAGTTCGAATCGGCGTGGGAAAACTTTTTGCATTACGGTCATACCAGATTGAAAACACTGGTTCTCGTCCGATCACCGAAGTTAAGCAATGTCGATCAGTACTTGGGAGGGTGACCACCTGGGAACACCAGGTACTGTAAGCTATTACTTTTTTTGGGGCTCAAAAATCATCCATTTTTGTTAGCAGCCCTGTAAATAAAGATATTTCCAGGAACCTGGGTTATGAATATCTCTTTTTGTCTGTCCCTTTTAGAAATGTATTTACAGTATTTATGTCTTTTGGCGCGGAGAATCTGGTATTTGGATGATGTTTTGTTCTAGAAATTGAGGTTATGTTGTCTTGGAGAATGGAAGTGTCGCAGGAGATCCAAACTTGATATCTACCACGTCAAGCTTGAGATCACTTTCCTAGAAGTCTCAATGTCTACTTTCTTTTGTTTGATTATTTAAATCATTTTATTCGCTATCGAACGTTGTGGCCCACTGTACGTATTACATCCCAAACACGATGCGACGCCATGTCTGTCTTGAGCTCGATGTACCATCTTGGTGACCGTTAAGCCAGTGAGTTCCTTTAATCTATGCTTAAAATGGGTGCCAAAACTTCTAACACGAGAAATAATACAAATAGAAAAAGATTTTCTTAGACCTCAAGAAGACTTTATATATATCTTATCAGGTGCTTGAAGGTGTGATAACATGTGATGAGACTATGTGTGTCGGTGGGCGTCCAGGTATGCATCGCTCAGACGTCTTTCCAGTCAGTATGGTGTACTCCATTCCCCTGCGTCGCGCGATTTAACCGAAGAATCTCAAACAATTCCGTTGTATACGCCGCAGAAGTCGGACATTGTTTGATTATTGCTTTATATATATATATATATATATATATATATATATATATTAAAGACTACCCAACTAGAAATAGTTAACGACGAGATGTATGGTACCTTCCTCTTATTTGACCATATTGGATGATACCAACATCGAGTTTACGATTCTATAAGGTTGTCCCGAAAGTTCGTGTTTTTCTTAAAACGTTGTTTTTCTTATTACTTGACGAATAATATTATTACGGCAAATACATAATACAATTACTTTATAATACAATATAATGCGGCTTATGATTGTAGAACGATATTTGACAATTATCCCACAAATGTTTATTTTTTATTTTTCTGTTTATAATTACTTTTCACAATTCATCCTTTCATACTTCATCCCTAAGGTTAGAAATAGTCGTTATTTCTCCTTAAAATAAATTTCGATTTTTTGTTCAAAATACGGGATAATTGTCAAATATCGTTCTACAATTACTTTGTAATACAAGGACATTATACATAACGGCAAATAATATTAGTTTTTCAATTTTTTTTTTTTTTTTTGCAAGTGTTTACGAACTTTTGGGACAACCTTTTAAAACAAATATGTTGGTCATTTTATCTGCGTAAAACTCTTCCGTTTATTATTTCCTTTATCATTCGAACATCAATCGTTGAATGGTTTGACAGATATGCGGGTAACCGGTTAAATGGAAAACCCCCATCACAAGAATAAGCTATCATAAACGAACGAAGATAATGGCAAAAGGAATTAACAAATCCATCTGAGGTGTGTTAAGAGGAATAGAAGAATCTATTTTACCAAGAATGGCATACAAACTGAATTGAAACCAAGAAAATTCTCAAGAATGAAATGTAAAAACGAATATAAATCTAAAGGCAATAAGAATGCTACAAACTAAACATCCTCAGCTCAAGAAAAATACTAGAATTCACTATATAAAGACAGAAATAAAAAACAACCCTAACGTAAATTCACGAAGATCAAATAAAAAGTAAAATCTATCATAGTGTATCAAGAGCAAAATCAATAGAAGTACATGGCTACTGTAAAGCCATGGGAAATATCAATTAGAAAGCCACGCAAGTGATAGAGCAAAAACAACAGGCCAATACCCAAGGGTAAAAATCAGAGAATAAACCCAGGAAATTATCTAAAAGTGAAGTAATAAAGTGAAAGCAGGTTCTATGGCAAAAATGACCAGAACAGACCCATCTAGAAGCCTTGATAAAACATCAAGCTAAAGAATAAACATGAACGCGGTATCAGCAGAGACAATTCCAACAGAAATGCATGTGTTGGAAAAGAAGGAGTTCGAAGCAGCCAATGGGAGGCCGACGGAGGGGGCTACGGGGATGCAGCGGCTGAAATGAGAAGAACAATAAGAGAAGAACTTGTAAACAACTTTCGAACGCGAGAATTTGCCCTGATCCCCGATTCTTTTAGTGTAAATATTTAAATATATAATTATAATTAAATAATACTTTACTTATTTTCTTAATTCATAATAAATATTGATACGTGCTGTAAATATTTCATAATTATTATTTTCATCTTTAACTTTTCATAGAATATTATTTCTTTAATCATCATCACTTGGCATTGTTTACATAATTTTTTTTTTGTAAAATGGCTGAAGTGAGTCAAAAATAAAAAGCTAACAAGACATACATTTTTGATTATTTCTTTCTTTTACATTAAACAACAGCGACAAAAGAAAAACTACATACATCCGCAACATATTTGGCGCAGCTCGACAAGGATACGAAAGAAAATTAAAAAGGTAAATTTTTAATCAAAAGATCATATATTTCAAATTTAAATAACTCATTTAGAGACATCTTTATTGTTATAATGGCAAATTTACATAGATTTGAAAAATATTCTGGCAGTAAGAATAACATAAAGATTGAAAGTTGGATTAAGTTGTATGAAGTAGAAAATTTAAAGGCAAATGATGAAGAAAAAATACACAATCTTATCTACTATTTAGCAGATGAAGCCTTAGAATTTTTTGCTGATGAAATTCTTACAAATGCACATATAAAGAAATGGGAAACTGTAAAAGATAAACTCATTGCCAGATTTAAGCCTTGCATATATAGTCCCATTGTTTAAGCATCTAGCAGAAAGCTCCTTGCAAGTGAAACAGTGGAGACTTATTTTAAAGAAAAAATGGACTTACTGAATCAAACATCCTTGAAAAAGGAAGAGAAAATACAACTACTAACAGATGGGCTACCTTTGAATTGGAGGGATGTGTTTGCAGCAGCACAACCTGCAGATCCAACCAAATGGATACAAGTTGCACTTTCTGTTGAGCATAACAGGCAACAAAGTAAACTAAGAAATTTGTTTAAACCCAAAGTATGCACTCTATCTCAACAGGAAAGATCAGCTTCAAATTGCCCATTTTTTTGCCCAATTTGCATAAAGAAAAGAATTAAAGTGAAACATTGGTTGAATGAATGTCCTGATTATGACCCAAATTATAAAACAGAGAGATCATCTAAAAATACACAACCAAAGCAATTCATTACAACAGTCACAGAATCAACCACAAGTAATGAAACAAACAAAGTAACTTGCTTATCAACTCATAATCCTCCTAATAAATTGATAGACTTTAAAATTTGTGTCAACAAACATCCTTTACAAGCCTTCATGGACACAGGTGCTACCATATCTTTAATAAATCAAAATTTAATGAAAAGTTTGAATTTACATCCTTTAATAGATTCTCCCATGCAAATTCAACAAGCTAACTCATTAACCAACACTTTGGGATATGTTCATGTAGACTTGCAAATTCATAATAAAACTAGAAAGGTCAAACTCCATGTAATACCTAATTTAAAATTCCAGCTACTCATAGGCTTGGATATTGCAGAAGACTTTGAACTTATTGTTGACACTAAAGATAAAACAGTCTACACTAAGCAATCAGCAGAAATGGCACTTGTTTGCACAACCTTTAATCATTTGCAAAAACCTAACCAGGATGAATTGAATAAATTATTACAGCAAAATGAGCAAATCTTCAGTCAACATCAAACAGATATAGGAAGAATCTCCATTCAGCACAATATAGTCACCAAAGAACATTTGCCTATAAGTTTAAGACCATATAGAAGACCCATCTCTGAATATGAGAAAATTTCCGAACAAGTCAAAGAAATGATTAAGAAAGGATTAATTAAAGAGTCATCCTCCCCATGGTCTTTTCCAGTTGTTTTAGTGCAAAAAAAAGATGGGACCAATAGACTTTGTGTAGACTACAGGGAACTCAATAAAATTACAATTGATGATAAACAACCCTTACCACTTTTGCAAGATATTTTTGATAGACTTCATGGAGCAAAGTATTTCACAACACTAGATGTGGCTTGGGGATACTGGCATGTTCAAATGCACCCTGAGTCAGTTCCCAAAACAGCCTTTGTCACCAATGATGGACATTATGAATTTTTGGTTATGCCCTTTGGACTCAAAAATGCAGCATCAACATTTCAGAAAATCATCCAGAAAGTGATAGGAACTCTTTTATGGAAAGGAGTATGTGTTTTCCAAGATGATATCATCATTTATTCCTCATCCTTTTCCCAGCATATGAACCTGATAAAGCAGGTATTCGAAAAATTGCTTGAATACAACATCAAGCTTAAGTTCAACAAATGCTCATTTGCACAGTCAGAGGTCAAATACTTAGGCCATATCATTGGTCACAATAAAGTAAAACCTGATCCTGATAAAATCAAAGCTGTTCAAGACTTTCCGCAACCAACAACAGTTAAAGGAATCAGAAGATTCATTGGCTTGGCAAATTTCTACCGGAAATTCATTCCAAGATTTGCAGAGATTGCCATTCCTCTTACAAACCTGACACAGAAAAATAAATTATTCTCGTGGACACCTCAAGTTGATAAATCCTTTATAGAATTAAAAGCAGCTTTAACATCTGAACCAATTCTTACCACTTACAACCCAGAAGTACCTTGCAAACTATATACAGACGCATCAGCAATTGGAATATCAGGAATACTAAGTCAAGAAATTGATTCAACAGAACATGTAATATCATACTATTCCAAAAAGCTTCTTAAACACCAACAGAACTACTCAGCTTTTGAACTGGAATGCTATGCTGTCATCCAAGCAATAGATTATTTTGAGGTGTATCTGGAAAACAAGCCCTTCCAAGTTATTACGGATCAAGACAACCCACCAAGAAATCCCACAGGAGATCCTATAAAGGCTCACATCTCTCAATTAAAGTCATTTATTCTCCGTGAATAAATGC